TTATTTTTTTATTGTATATTTATCTGAACTTTCTTGCAGGATTTTTTGGAAGTAACCTACCAGATTATCAGCGGTCAGAGATCATGATGTTCATCATGGGGAAAGTACCTGTTTTTGGAACAACTACCCATAATTTGGATATCAGTCAGCTAGGGTATGTACTTTCCCGTTGTTCTCAAAATGTCGATTTGCACTTCAGTTATGGTTAAATTTCATACGGAAGAAATCTAGGAACTGTTAGTTTGTCTTTTTATTACTATAATAAAAGTCCTATAGGAAGCAGTTGGTATTTTTATTGCTGTAGGTTATTAAGCAATTGGCCATTTGGCTATTCAACATTTGCGTGCTTTTAGAAGCAGTGTTCAGTGTATCATAAAGTCTCAAGAGTTTCTCTTACCTTAGCCATGTGGAAGGTTTATTTGGCATGGGCATTATTTGCAGACCTACACATTTAGGGTAAATCTTCAAGTTCCTGCTAAACATTTTTCAAACTAATGTTAGAATAGTATAGGAAGCATGTGGAGCCACTTGGAGTCTTAGAACTGAAGGTGACTTTCAGGATCTGCTGCCCTTTGACCCCTTGCTTTTCAGATTGGTTTTGATTTTACCATATGCTAAAGCTTCAGTCTGTGCATATTTGTATGTGTGTTGCTAATTTAATCAGTAAGTGTAATGTCTTTTGCTTTGATTTATAGTTGACCATTAATTAATGACCCCTTTTTCCATTTCTTAATTCTTTTCTGAATTGTCTGTCCTTGTGTTTATGTATGTTCACTAGATGGGAAATATGTTAGTTATATTTGCACTAAATATTTTCTTTTCATGTGGGTTGTCTGTTTGCTTTCATAGAATTTAATGTTCATGTATTCATATGCATAGGTCTGTTTCCTTTGGCAGAATCATGGCTTCTGATTTTTCTTTTTCTTTGGTTTGAATATGATTTTTTTAAAAAACACTGTAATTGACATGAAATTTACTTAGAGTGCAAAATGACCTAGGACTTCAGCTGTTAAAATCTATTTAGCTAATAAGAATCGAGTTTTAAAATCAGTAATTAATAGTATAAATCAATGACATCATATGAATGTAAATTAGTAGTACTAATAAGATAATAGTGTTTTGTGTGTTTTAGGGATTTGGGAACCAGGCGGATTCAGATAATGTTGCTGAGATCTTTGCTTATGGTAAGGCCTTGGAGACAAATGAAGGACATTTTGAACTTAATTTTTTGCAAGGTTAAAAGAATAGCTTCCCACGATCACCTCGTTGCTTCATCGTACTGTGCTGTTCACGGGGACTTTTTTGTGGTTTGTGTGTTGGAGGAGTGAGTATGCTCTTCATTTTCATTTTTGATCCTCTACTCCTCACTGCTTGTGCCTCACTTCTGCTGTTATTGTATGTGATTCTCATAGTGATAAAACATACAGAAGACAGAAACTTGCCTTTTTAGATGAAGAGAAGGCTTAGAGACTCCATGGGAGAAGTTAGGAAGATTCATCAAGGTCATTGAACTAAAGAACAGAACTTGGACTTGAAATCCAGTGTTTTTCCTAAATGTTACGTGTACTTATCAAATTGCTTCTTGTTTGGAAAATAATTCCAAACAACAATGCAAAATTTTCATTTTAAATTTGCTCTATAAAGAGCAAAAATTAAAGGACGTAGGAAACATCAAAAGTAGATGGAAGGATTACACAGTCACTGTACCAAAAAGAATTGGTCAATTTTCAGCCATTTCATGAGGCAGCATACAATCAAGAACTGATGGTATCGAAGGAAGAAGTCCAAGCTGCACTGAAAGCATTGGCAAAAAACAAGACTTCAGGAACTGATGGAATACCCATTGAGGTGTTTCAACAAAGGGATATGACACTGGAAATGCTCAGACATCTGTGCCAAGAAATCTGGAAGACAGCTACCTGGCCAACTGATTGGAAAAGATCAGTATGTGTGCCCATTCTAGAGACAAATGATCCAACAGAATGCAGAAATTACCAAACGGCATCATTAATATCACATGCTAATAAAATTTTGTTGAAGATAATTGAAAAACAGTTTCAGCAGTACATCGACAGGAAACTGCCAGAAGTTCAAGCTGCATTCAGAAGAGGGTGTGGAATGAGAGATACCACTGCTGATGTCAGATGGATCTTGGCTGAAAGCAAAGAATATCAGGAAGATGTTTACCTGTGCTTTATTGACTATGCAAAGGCATTTAGCTGTGTGGATCATAATAATATTATGGCTAATGTAGCAAAGAATGGGAATTTCAGACCACTTAAATTTTCTCATCCAGAGTCTGCACGTAGACTAAGAGGCAGTCATTTGAATAGAGTAAGGGGATACTACATGGTTTAAAATCAGGAAAACTATGTGTCAGGGTACCGACTACCGTACTTAATCTGTATGCTGAGCAAATAATTCAAGAAGGTAGACTATATGAAGAAGAATGGGGCATCAGGATTGGAGGAGGATTCATTAACAACTTGTAATATGCAGATAACCTTGCTTGCTGAAAGTGAAGGGGACTAGAAGTACTTACTGATGAAGATCAAAGACTACTTCTTTCAGCATGGATTACACCTCAACATAAACAAAAATCCTTACAGCTGGACTAATAAGTGATACTGCAGAAACGGCAAGGAGGCCACATGTTCTGACCTCCTCTAATCCCACAAGAGGAAGACAGAGTCATTATCAGTAACCCAAGGCCTATTCCTGCCAGGCCAGACATGCTGCCTCCCTCCAGCCCTTTCTCCAACTGTTCCTCTCAAAGCACCCACCACCTCTCTCCTGGGTTCGATAATTCGCTGCAGTGGCCACACAGAGCTCACAGATTATGGGGTTTATGAGGGAAGCATCACAGGCTACAATTCAAGTTCAGGAAAAAATGCTCAGTCTCTCTATCAGCCCACTGTCCCTCAGCCAACAGTCTCTCACAGTCTCTCTCCCAGCAGTGCGTGTCCCTCAGTGTCTCACTCAGCAATGCGTCTCTCTTGTGTCTCTTTCCCAGGAATGCGTGTCTCAGGAGCCCCTGTCTCTTTCAGCAACACGTCTTCCTCAACCAGCAGTCAGAGATAGTTCTGCCTCTAGGAGGCCTCCTTTTGAGCCCGGCAGGGTGGTCAAACTAGCCAATCATAGCATCAGAGCTCTAAGCACCTGAGAGAGAGTGGGCACCTCCCAGAACATTGTTTGGTGCCACTCCCAACAGAAATACTCCAGGTGGACACCTTCAGCAATCAGGAGCTCCTCAGTTGCTCATAGAAAATCCCACCTTGGAGTTTACAAAGACTTATGGGTAGAAAAGCCACACTAAGTAATTTACTACACCACAGATACCATGATAAATGGAGAAAATATTGAAGTTGTCAAGGATTCTGTTTTACTTGAAATGAATGGCCATGGTGGCAGCAGTCAAAAAATCAAACAAGGTATTACATTGGGCAGATCTGCTGCAAAAGACCTCTTTAAAGTATTGAAAAGAGGTCACGTTGAGGACTGAAGTCATGTGCATGCGAAAGCTGGACAGTGAATAAGGAAGACTGAAGGAGAATTGATGCATTTTAATTATCGTATTAGTGAGGAATATTGAGTATACCATGGATTGCCAGAAGAATGAACAAAGCTGTCTTGGAGAAGTACAGCCAGAATGCTTCTTAGAATGGAGGATATTGAGACTTCATTTTGTGTACTTTTCGACGTATTATGTAGAGAGGTCAGTCCCTGGAGAAAGACATCATTGGTTATGTAGAGGGGCAGTGAAAAAGAAAACCGTGAACGAAATGGTTTGACACAGTGGCTGCAACAGTGGGCTCAAACACAGCAATGATTTTGAGGATGGGGCGGGGCCAGGCAGGGTTTCCTTCTGATGTTCACAGGGTTACTATGAGTTGAAACCAACTCTATGGCACCTAACAACAGCAACAGTGACATAGAGAGCTGAAAAGAAAAAGCATGCCCAAGATGTAAGGTTTTGTAGTTATCGTATTCATCTTTGATTCACCTATACCCAGCATGATACCAAAACTAAATATTTCTCAATACACACTGCTTATCCCAGATATTCTTAACCTCTCTGAGCTTAGCACCAACATCACAGAAATATGGAAAGGGTGAAGTAAACGTATATGTAACAGTGAGCGTGCAGTACATGCTCTTCTGCAGGCATACCTCCTTTTATTGCGCTCCCTTTATTGCACCTCGCAGATAGTGCATTTTTTTACAAATTGAAGGCTCGGGACCACCTTGAATCAGGAAAGTCTGCTGGTGCCATTTTTCTGATGGCATATGTTCACTTCATGTGTCTGTGTCACATTTTGGCAATTCTCACAATATTTCAACTTTCTCAATGCTATCATACACTTTATAGACTACAGTATTGAAAAAACCAAACTCACTGCCGTCGAGTTGAATCTGACTCACAGTGACCCCTCCTTGGGTTTCCAAGGCAGTATCTTTACGGAAGTAGGTTGCCCAGTCTTCTTCCAAGGAATGGATGGTGGATTTGAACCACCGGCCTCATGGTAAGCAGTCAGATGCCTTGGGCACCACACCACCAGAGTTCTCAGACTATAGTATAGTATAAACATACCTTTTATATGCACTGGAAAACCAAAAAATGCCTTGGACTTGCTATTGCAGTGTTTGCTTTATTGTGGTGGTTTAGACCCAAGCCTGCAATATCTCTGAGGTATTCATGTACATTTTGTTTTCCTTATGATTGATGTTTTCATAAATTCAGTAAAATTCTTTACAAATTTCCTTTATGTTTTAGCTTCAGGTTTCATGTCCATACTTCCTCTTTCCTTAAGTTTATGTTTCTTATAAAACAGCTTCAAAATTTTACCCTAAAAAACAACCCCTGACAGAGATTTTTTTGTGTGTTTTTCCTCCCTATCCAGGTAACCTCTGGATACAAAGCCAAGACAATTGTCACTGCCTTGCCTGGGTCTTTTCTGGATCCTTTGTTATCACCATCTCTCATGGAAGACTGTGAGCTAAGACAGTTAGTCTTGGAAGTCATGCACAACCTCATGGATCGCCATGACAACAGGGCGAAGCTTCGAGGGATCAGGTGATGTGCTTTTTGAAATGGGCTCAATAATAATTTTTCAAATTTCTAAATGAATGTATTTAGATACTGTAGGTTTTTTTTTTTTTTTCAATCTAGGGCTTTCATGTTCTCTTAATTCAGAGTCATTTAATTATTGATATGATTTAACTATTACTATATTTAGGAGCTCTGGTAGCATAGTGCCTAAGGCACTTGACTGCTCACCAGAAGGCTGGCGATTCAAACCCACCAGCCACTCCTCGGAAGGAAGGTTGGGCAATCCTACTTCCGTAGTGATAACTGCCTCGGAAACCCAAGGAGGGGTCGCTATGAGTTGGGGCCGACTCAACGGCAATCAACAACAACAACATATTTTAAGAAAGCAGATGTTTGAGAGGTTTTCAGTGTACTCTTCAGTGATCTCATCTCATAGTCACTGGTTATGTGAATTTTATTTTGTTTAATTTTGATTTAAATTGTGGAATGGCATTAGGAGAAAAGATTACGCAGTTCCTTTTAATTCAGTTTGGTATGTTATTGTTGTTATGTGCTGTTGAGTCGGACCGACTCATAGTGACCCCTCCTTGGGCTTCCAAGGTAGTATCATTATGGAAGTAGATTGCCCAACTTTCCTTCCGAGGAGTGGCTGGTGGGTTTGAACCACCAGCCTTCTGGTTAGCAGTTAAGTGCCTTAGGCACTACGCTTACTTACAGGCTTATTTAAAATACTCATTGAAATGAGTAGTGGGTAGTTCAAACTCCTAAGTATGAGTATGATTTCCATATAAGATACTACAGTATGCTGTCCATTAAAAATGATGTATTGTTGATTATTTCTAGAATAATACCAGATGTAGCTGACTTAAAGATAAAAAGAGAAAAAATCTGTAGACAAGATACAAGTTTTATGAAAAAGGTAAGATCATCTTCTGAAAAATAATCCATGGTACCAGTTCTAGCCCTCTGACATTTCAGGTCGTCATATGTGGATCTCTTAAAATGGACCCATGTAATGCTGGGGTTGGAAGACCTGCTGCGGCCTCTTGAGCCTGCACTTATCACAAGAGCATCCTGACGGTGTCTCCCCCAGCCTGGGGTGTTGGCCTGCTCGTAGAGTTTTCAGATCTTTCCTTTGGGTTAGAAACATCCCCTCTAATTCATGCCCTTTATTTCTTCTCCCTCCCCAAACATACTGATTGCGTGTGTAGTGCCTTTTTTTACAGAGACCTTCTTTTTTAAAAACAGCTATCCCGATTGAATAACTGTATAATGTTTACTGTGTATTAGGCTTTGTTCCATGTACTGTTTAGGTTGTAAAGATTAGTTTGGCAGGATCTCTGCTCTTAGTCGGTGGTACGTAGCAGATCTTTCTCATGATCATGTAAATGTTATAGGTTCTGTTGGCAAACTGTGACATCTAAAGTTAGCGGAGGAGCCCTGGTATGCAATGGTTAAGTGCTCGACTACGAACCAGAAGGTCAGCTGTTTGAACTCACTAGCTACTCTGCAGGAGAAAGATGTGGCAGTTTGCTCCCATCAAGATTATAGTGTTGGGACCTCTACTCCGCCCTAAAGGGTTGCTGTGAGTCGGAATTGCCGCCACAGCAGTGGGTTAAGGTTATTAGCGTATTGAGT